ATAATATACAGGCTGTTAATCCGTGGAAATTTCCGTGTTATTTTCCAATAAATATTATTATCTACAGTATATTACCTTTACGCTCATCATATTAATTCAATCTATAATGAAAATAAGTTGCCAAATTAGGTTATATGTTAACATCATTGATGCGATCATAAATTAATGAGCACGGGAATTCTGAGGCACGTGCAGACTTATTCACGTACCTCCCACAAATATGATAATCCTCCTCAACAGTAGCTGTTGTGGGCATATGACATCAAAGTGCCATGCTGCTTGATTTATTTAAAACGTGTTGGAAAACATGCAGTGTTATTATTATTATTAAAAAACAAGAACTACACAAAATAATCATAATAAAAAATGACAGTGCAAATGAAGAGGAGGTTTAAGTCATAGTTGACCTAATAGCTATAGTTGCATCTTCCGTGCATGCACCCCTTTTTATTCTAAGTCTTTAATCTGCATCTATTATCTGAATATCAAATACCATTGTTGTTTTTTAATTGACATAAATATATTCCTGATGTTTTTCCTAATCTCCTTGGTGATAATATTGCTTAACCAGAAACTAAAATTTTGCTGTTTACAAAATTTGAATCATTCATGGATTATTAATCTCTACATGAAGATAGGGTATTGACATTATGGAAGCAAGGTTGTTCCCATCTTGCAAAAATGAGGATATTTGAAAATGAATATCCTGGTAAAATTCCTTTGTTATCTGATTGGTCCTTTGATTTGTTTTATCAAATCCAAAATTAGGCTGATTGAGTGATGTCACAGGAATTGTTTGAATGGCTGTTCTCTCAAATTGTATTCTTACCATTTGGGTTGTCTTGTGTATTTAAGAGATTTATTGACATATTTTACACTGATAATGGTCCAGGGAGATAGGTAATATAACCCAAATGATAAATAAAAATAACAAAAAGGGTGTGTCACTGATTGTCAAGAGAGTGTCCTTATATCCTCTGGTATCTCTAATCATACAATCACTTAATATGTTTTCTCATAGCTATATGAAATGTCTCACCACGTGCAATATAGTCTCATGCCACACATCACAGTTTCAAGATCATTTATCTTTATTTGTTATGGCATTCATCATAAGTCTTTCATCCTAGAAATTACACTTCCTCTCCTTTTATTTCTAATTTCAGGTCATAATCGTGCAAGTGACAGTTATCTCGTGGGTAAGACCACACGTTTCCTGTCAGCCAATTATGTAATACTCTAGTTATAAGGTTTGATTCTTTTATTTGGAATCTTGTAAGGTTTCTAACATTGGAATGTCATTCAGAGTATAAGTGAGAGAATGGGGAGGGGGATGAGCCAACATTTTTGTCACTTGGTTGAGATAATTTTAAAGTAATTTTAAGGTATACTTAGTTTTTAACCTTATATATGAGTGAAGGTCAAATAAACAGACAAAAACAAATATAAGAAATATAGAAAAACAAATATGAGAAATAAAGAGAAATATAGAAACATAGAAATACAAATATGAGAAATATATAAACTAGAAAAACACTATGAGAAATATAGAGAACAAAGAAATACAAATATGAGAAATAGAGAAAAACATAGAAAAACACTATGAGAAACATAGAAAAACAAATATGAGAAATATAGAAAAACATAGAAACATAGAAAAACAAATGTGAGAAATATTGTCATTTGAAGCAGATGTACTTTGACAGAATGAAGGTCAACTAGACAACAGCAACGCCAAAGCATAGCAAATCCCATCTAACAGCCATGGCTGGCATTTTTACAAACAAAATGGCAGCCATTTTTCAAAATGGCCACCTTCTACCAAAAATGTCATTAGACAGTGTGCCATGCTTTCCACATACCAAATATGAACAAATCGCTACACTACTTTTCGAGTTATAATAAAATATGTTAAAATGGTGACCATTTTTCAAAATGGCCGCCTTCTACCAAAAGTGTCATTAGACAGTGTGCCATGCTTATAGTATTCAAATACCAAATATGAACAAAATCGCTCCACTACTTTTCGAGTTATAGTAAATTACGTTAAAATGGCAGCTATTTTTCAAAATGGCTTGCTTCTACCAAAAGTGTCATGAGACAGTGTGCCATGCTTATAGAATTCACATACCAAATATGAACAGAATCACTCGACTACTTTTCGAGTTACAGCAAAAATCGTAAAATAATGAGTAAAGGCAGCCATTTTTCAAGATGGCTGCCATGTGCTTCTTTAATATCTACATTTCTAGCTTTATTAATGTATTACAGTTTTACATATTGCACCTAAATTACTGTAAAATTGGCACTAAAATGGCCGCCATTTTTAAATGAGCCGCCATATTGAAAATCAGCTTTCGAGCAGAACTTCTACCCCCATGGGGTATATGTGTACAAAATATGAACAAAATTGGGCCAACGGTATTTGAGTTATTGCCCGGTCGGACGGACAGACGGAGGCGTTCCCTATATCCCTCCGAACTTCGTTCGATGGGATAAATAATATAGTTGTACATTAATAAGTACAAAACGATATGTGATAAAATTGTAATCCATCAAGATCAAGTGACAAGTACCATGTATAATTAGAGTTAATGTAAGAGAATTGTGCAATTAAGTAATCAATCTTGATAAAATTTAGGTTTAAAGTGCTATCATTCTACTAGGTTAACATCACTGTCTGTTCACAAGGCTTTTCTCTGGAATGATTTCGTGCAGGTCCTCAGCTTCCTTTTCCCAAGGGTATTTCTCTTCTTTTTTACCCTTGATCAGGCTGTGAAATCCTAGGACTATATATGATTTTAAATATGCTAAGTTGATGAGTTGATGTTTACCTATCAACAGCCAATCAGAGCGCTTGTTACTGGGACTCAGGTACCACTGGGCATATCAAAACCTTTTTCGAAAAAGCTTTATAACTTTAATTCGACTAGTCTATATTATCTTACAGCTTGACTTTTTCTGTTAAATTATTGTGTCAACCAATTTTTCTAAAAATTAATCAAAAGGTTTAGCAATTATATATTCTAAAATTATTTCAAGGCATATATAAGGGTTATGTACTGGGAGGTTTTGGATACAGGGTTTATCCCGAGGGACTGCAGGGACTGCAATAAAAGTCAGCCATTTTTTAAATTTGCGATATATATTGCCGAAACTTGGAGACATCATTTATTATCTATAAATTAAGGAACATGTATAATTTTAAGCAAATTGATGAAGCAATGACAAAAAAGCTAAAAACCTGACTTTTTCTACAAAAAGTGGTGGCCATTTTGAATCTTTGCAACAAAAGACTAGTCTTGGTGTGGAGAATGCCTACTTTGGACAATTTTGATATTTTTACATCTTGTAGATATAAATGTCCTCTTTTGAATATTCATAATTTAATTTGGGTGTATTTCTATATTTTTCATAAAAAATTATTAGCCCAGGTGACTGTTCTCCGAGACTTGTCCTATTGCTTAAACTTGTAGACATTATTGATAACCCGAAAATTAAGATACAAGTACAGCAAATTGATTGAATACTTCTGGAGTTATGAAAATTGAAAGTACTCATTGCATTCGTTTGACTTCGCCTGTTAAAAGAGAGCTTCTTCACTCTTTCAGTTTACAATTAATCTCTGAACTCACCACTTAGCATGAGTTCTTTCCAGCTCTGGTGAGCTTTAGAGTTATGACCAAATAAGAGCTGAAAACAATTTTCAACAATAATTATAGCCGCCATATTGAAACTGAAAGCGAGCTTTTAAGATGCCACTTATGGTACAATTGACGACATTATATAGTTACATTTTAAAAGTGAAGCCATTACAATAATAATCATAGAGGATTTTAAATAGCTAGAGAGACAGACAGATGGACAGACGGACATTCTGATGGATGGACAGACGGACATTCAGACGGATGGACAGACGGACATTCAGACGGATGGACAGACGGACATTCAGACGGATGGACAGACGGACATTCAGACGGATGGACAGATGGACATTCAGACGGATGGACAGACGGACATTCAGACGGATGGACAGACGGACATTCAGACGGATGGACAGATGGACATTCAGACGGATGGACAGACGGACATTCAGACGGATGGACAGACGGACATTCAGACGGATGGACAGATGGATATTCAGACGGGTGGACAGACGGACATTCAGACGGATGGACAGACGGACATTCAGACGGATGGACAGACAGCAAGACAAGTGGGCGATAACAATAGCTAACTCACACAGCTCACCCATGTGAGCTAATAAAAATAATCGGAAATCAAATTCAACTTTCGAAATGTTGAGTAATATGAGAAGAACTCCCTAATGTTAGAATAAGCTTATATTTTTGTGTTGACATAGCCACAAGGTGAAATTAATCATTGATTAATTTTTTGTAATTCGGTAAATATACGTAATAGTGAAGTAAATCTCATCTCAATTGAACTTGAAAACACACTCCAAAACACAAGTTCCTATAAGGCACATTATTTGACACAAGTTATCAAGGAAGTTAATGTCACAATAATTACAACCTTGGTGCTTCCATGGAATATTTGAACGGTATTTCTAATTGATACTGATAGATTTACTAGAGCTTCGTAACAAGTTCTATATAATATGTACATATACAACATGATTTTTCAACTTTAACATCTAACCTAACCAACATCTCAACTAACCATATAACTGTATAAGTGGTTATTTGCTATTTTGCTATTTTTGCCAAAATTGATTACCATAAGAGAGTTAATTCTATCTAAATCATTGAGTTTAATTTTTTCATTATTATCCCTCAACACAGGAATATCAATTTGCTTAAATGTTATTTAATGTCCTTATTCAGTAAACGGGAAAATTTCTTCAAATCTTTGGTACAATTACTTTTTATACAGTGTCCATTACTATGTTAATGGGCTTGGTACATTTGGTGATATTACATGGGCCTTTTGTAGAATTCTTTTGAATTTCATTCTTCACCATATAATATATCACTTACCTGTTAATATCAATACCATTATTGCGTAGGATTAACTTGGCCAGATCCATATCCTGGTGCTCTACAGCCTCGAACAATGCTGAAAATAAATCAAACACATCCAATAGGTTAATTTTTCAAATATCTCACTCCTTTAGTTGGAGGTGTTTACAAATAAGGGGTTTACCAATGGGATAATAAGTGTAAACCTGTCATAAGAAAAAAGTTTAAACTAAGAAGAGTTCAGATACAAAGGTTTTACAGTTCATTGTTAGCATATACCAAAACATAACGTCCTCTTCACAATTATGAATTTACGTTGATCTTTATTTTTTAATTTTTCATTGCCACACACACAAAAAATATTAGTTCACACATCCAATGATTATGTAACGATGGGATAAACTTCAATATATCTTAAAGGTGTCTCGAAGTGTCCTATTTTCAATATTAGTTCACACATAACCAATGATTATGTAACGATGGGATAAGAATAACTTTAATATATCTTAAAGTTGTCTCGAAGTGTCCTATTTTCAATATTAGTTCACACATCCAATGATTATGTAACGATGGGATAAGCATAACTTCAATACATCTTAAAGTTGTCTTGAAGTGTCCTATTTTCAATATTGGGTCACACATAACCAATGATTATATAACGATTTGAAAGGCATAACTTCAATATATTTTGAGAAGGCGTCTTAAAGTGTCCTATTTTCAATATTAGGTCATACATAACCAATAATTATGTAACGATGGGATAAGAATAACTTTAATATATCTTAAAGTTGTCTCGAAGTGTCCTATTTTCAATATTAGTTCACACATCCAATGATTATGTAACGATGGGATAAGCATAACTTCAATACATCTTAAAGTTGTCTTGAAGTGTCCTATTTTCAATATTGGGTCACACATAACCAATGATTATATAACGATTTGAAAGGCATAACTTCAATATATTTTGAGAAGGCGTCTTAAAGTGTCCTATTTTCAATATTAGGTCATACATAACCAATAATTATGTAACGATGGGATAAGCATAACTTCAATACATCTTAAAGGTGTCTCGAAGTGTCCTATTTTCAATATTAGGTCACACATAACCAATAATTATGTAACGATGGGATAAGCATAACTTCAATACATCTTAAAGGTGTCTCGAAGTGTCCTATTTTCAATATTAGGTCACACATAACCAATAATTATGTAACGATGGGATAAGCATAACTTCAATACATCTTAAAGGTGTCTCGAAGTGTCCTATTTTCAATATTAGGTCACACATAACCAATAATTATGTAACGATGGGATAAGCATAACTTCAATACATCTTAAAGGTGTCTCGAAGTGTCCTATTTTCAATATTAGGTCACACATAACCAATAGTTATGTAACGATGGGATAAGCATAACTTCAATACATCTTAAAGGTGTCTCGAAGTGTCCTATTTTCAATATTAGGTCACACATAACCAATAATTATGTAACGATGGGATAAGCATAACTTCAATATATCTTAAAGGTGTCTCGAAGTGTCCTATTTTCAATATTAGGTCACACATAACCAATGATTATATAACGATTTGATAGGCATAACTTCAATATATTTTGAGAAGGTGTCTTAAAGTGTCCTATTTTCAATGACTGATGCCATATAATATATCAATACAATGACTAATCTATGCCTGTTATTACTTTCCTGTGTCCAGACTATTTTTGAGTTGTCATCCTATTTTTCAAATATGTAAGACTTCCTATTAAGGATGCATACTTTCTTGTTTTATTATGAAGTACAGTGAAACCTGTGTAAGTGGAACACAAATTGGGTTACTCGAAACAATGTTCAACTTTAGATGTGTTCAGAGATTTGATATTAAAGTATGAGAAACTGGACTTTGAAAAGTTTTCTAATTATATTATGTATATAATTGTGTTCATCTTTTCAGGTTTTACTGTATGTTAATTACAATTCACAGGACCTCAACTTGGTTGAATTCTCTTTACTCTTTAACCCGGAGACATTTCTTTTTGTTATCTAAGCTATATCCATTCAGAAAATGAAGACCTAGACTGACTGTACATAGGCAACATTCAAACTCCAATATAAAACATTTCAGACTGTAAAGCTCAATGAGAGGGGTAACTTTTGGCCCTAAGAAAGGATGTAAATCAATTTTAAAACCTTAAAAGGTACATTTCAGATTGTAAAAATCGATGAGAAGGGATGATATTTGGCCCTAAGAGAAAAGCATATCGTTAAAACTTTACTTATATAGGAGGGGGGGGGGGTGGACCAAACAAAATTCATTTCAAGTTTCCATAACAGATACTCTAAGGATAACATTACTTTGTTACACAATAGCCTACAATGACATGTTTCTTGAACAAACTGTTCATTTTCATAAGTTGTACTGGAGTAATACATTGCTATTGACAGCTGCTAAATATTTTTATCCACATTTTTAGATCAAGATATGTCTATTTTTATGATGGTAATCTGTATTTCAATGGATTCATGATATAACATCTAAAATGTGTCAAATACATACGAGGTATTAACATGCAAAATGCCACCACCTGCCATTTGTTACATATGCCAAAGGTCAGACATCAACCGCTGAATGCAATCACAAAAAGTTGGAGACCATAACAAAATGTCACCACTTTGGGTTGTGACATAATAAAGCTAAAAATAATGGATATAGGACAAGAAACGTGCCTTTTAAAAAATTAATACTGCATTCCTTGGCTTCAGGTTAAAGTTCTCTCATAACAATCACAATATTATTTTATATGCTCATTAGCAACACCTAATAACCAATCAGATTGGAGTGTTTTGATCACAAACATTAGCCGAAAGGCATCTAAAATAAGAAAATAGTTATTCGTTACTTTTTAGATTTCAATTGTTGATTATCTCGTCAGATGATCATTAAGCTAATTAAAGAGCAGAAAACATATTTAAAAACAAGTATAGATGTTTCAGGTGAACTTTCCTGATGCTGTTCCTCAGGGGCTGTCCAAGAATCAGTTGAAGGATAAACAATGATGTAAATTTCTATGAAATTCTGCAGAGATGGGTGGAAGGAGGTAGGATGGTTGGATATTCACCTGGGGCAGTACTTGAAGTTCAAATAATAGATAGCGAGGTGAAAGAAAGGTTGTAAAAGAAGTTGCGTTTCATAATCTGCAAAATTATGCAACTGGTGAGCACCCTATTATGAAATCACTTTTTAAGGTCAATGGACTTGAAGGTCAACACTACTGAGGTCAACACTACACAAGGTCCAGATCACATTTATAACAAATGGTTTATACAATTGATACTTTATGATTTATTTTTCACGAAAGTATTCGATTTGACTAGATCAACATTCATTCTAAACACATGCCAAGTGTAAGATCTTATTGAAGTTGTTTAAGTTTCAAAGTGCAAAAATAGGGAAATAATGCTTAAATTCTCCCATTTTGAGGTAGTACAACAAATGGGCATGATGAACCTAAAATTTGATCAAATATGTAGAGCATCAATAAACTCAATGTGACACAAAAACTGTGTCCTAGATATATCATATCCCTACTAGAAATTGGACAAGCAGCTTTTAATTGCATAGAAAACAAAACAAATAATGTTGCGTATTCCCATGGGCTTTCTCTCTTGAAAGCCTATGGTATTCCCAATTTCAGCCTTATTGTTTTCACATTAAATAAGGTGTTGGACAAATAGTGAATGAGTAGGCAATTAGCACTCAGGAAATTCTTTGTTCAAGATTAACTTGAAGCTGTAGGATGAAAAAAATATGTTCTTTATTTTGCGTCCTAATTATTTTGTACAAAATAAATTTGAGCCAATAAAGGGACAAAGTTTTGTAGTCCATCTATTGGACTGAAACAGAACTAATTGCCAGAAACAAATTTTCCAACAATTGAGTCCCCCTCTTAAAAGTCTCTAAAAATAGGTACAACAGTATCATTAAAATTCTTAATCCTTATGAGATTAAAATGCTTCAATCTGGGCTGTCCCTGAACATACGCATCAGAACTACACCCTGGGGGTTGGCAGTTTAATAACATAGTTGTGTCACCTCGGTACTTATCTCTTAATAGGATTTCTTAGAAAAAATGACAAGAAAACCCACGTGAGCAGTGCATGCAGCACTTTCCGGAATGAACTGGTTAAGGCCAGGAAACACATCATAACTAGGTGGAAAAATGGTGGAATTTATCAAAGTGTTGTTGTTTGGATAAGAGTTTTGTCATTTATTTATTGACTCTCTGATGTCATAGCAATGACATATTATCCATGACAAAAAGACCTACTATATTCTAGAAGTATCATGTTAGCCCTGGAACATTCATTTCTGAGCCATGAGCATGTACTGTTATTCTTCCACAATTGTATCATGTTTGTATTTTTCACTTTTGAATTGTTTATGTGCAGGCATTTTTGTATATTGTCGTATTTTATAACATGAACTGGTATGATATCTATAATTGTATTTCTTGCTTTATTCAATTCATATAAATTGTAATATATTTTTATATTGTACAACTTTTGATTTTAGCACTGATATGCCCTTTTATGGGTATTAAGTGCCAACACTGTTAATGTAATACTAAATGAATATGATAATAAAATAAATAAATAAATAAAATAAATAAAATAGTTTTTCTTTCACTTAGCAATAAACTATCTGGTCTTTGGGGTTCCCTCTAATGCCCAGTCATAAAAATAGCAAACAGTAATATTTTTATTTTGTACATAAATCAGATGGTCAACATAAAATGCCAAATTGGCGATTTGTTTCTGAAATATACTTCAGTAGCATAAAATGTCTGTAAAAAAGTCAATTGTTGTAAAATCTAGTGGCTCTAGTAAGACAAATGTAAAACATCTGTATGCTGTATCACTATGGTACAATAACCATCTTGTATTGTTTGCACGTTTGTTTAGGAAAACAAGTATCTGATCCATCAAGCTTTAATACTGTAGGTTGATGACACAACAAAATACAGATTTTAATCAATTTCTTTGTGAATTGCAAACATGAAACTCACTTGTAATGTACCTTTGGAAAGGAAGATAAAATTCAAA